CTTCCATCTGTAGAAGAGAAGCGAGGAGTGGGGTGAGTGTGTGTCCTGTGTGTGCGTGCCTCATCAGGGGGATAAGGGGGACGTTGTCTCCAGGGAGGGCGCCGGAGGTCTGCAGTGGGAAATATCTGTCATTAGATGTGTTTTTGAACGGTTTTTCTCCCATGTGCATATATCACTTAATTTTTAATTTTCATTAATGTGTTCAGCAAAAGCTTATTCAATGCCTTTTTAAATGCCAGGTACTGTGTAAGACTTGGGGCTGTGATGGGAGCAAGATGCCGTCTCCCCCTTGAGGACCAGCACAACACGGGACTGTGAGCAGTGGCCACAGCCGTGATGCTGTGGAGAATAAGAGGGAGCTCAGCCGTGCGGACAAGCCACTCTGCTGGTGCTAGAGACAGTTCTCCCTGGGCATGTCTCGGGAAGAGGACGTCTGTGAAAGGGGCTTGTTGGACAGAGACGGTGCTTCCATCTGGACTGAGCACAATAAATGTGAGAGCATTGTTCTCCGGAGCAAAAGCTGGGCAGGGCACCAGCAGCCTCCTTGGGACACTGGGGGCTCCTCAGCTGTGACACAGACGGCCGTGGGCACTGCATCACGTGGGACTTGGGAAAAGGGAACTATGCGAACATGGCTCCCAAGCTGCCCATGTGCCAGGAGCAATCAAGTCTGTCTCTCGCCCAGGGTCCCAAGTCTTTGGCAGGCATCTATGAAACCGTGCAAGCTAACTTGTCAGCTTGCAAGGAGGGGAAGTCCAAACCCCTCACAGCTCTTGACAAGTAGATCCAAGTCAAAGAAAAGCAAGTTTTTTAGTCTAGCACCTCCCATGGTGCTGGTCCTAAGCTAACATTCGCCACCATACCCCGTTTAGCTGTGCACCTTAATGGGACAGCTCCGAGTGTGGAGCTATCAAGAAAATACAGGTTCCCCCCTCTGCTCTGCCCAGACACAGGCCACAGCCCCTCCAGATCTAGGCGTAAATAATACAAAGTCACATAAAATTTCCTCTCCACTCTGTGCACAGGCAGGAAAACTGGGCAAAGCCTGAGTGGCTGACTCATTCCCTCCCCTCTGTAGGTCAGCACAGACTGCCGCTAGGGACCAGTACCAGATTTTAGCTATGTTTTTAGGCATCAGTGGCCTAAGAGCGCCTCATACATCTATTAGTAGGATTAAGTTAGTCTTATCGATGAATCAGTATTAAATGACAAAGCCTAAATACCTCCCAAGCTTTTCTTTCTTACACAGTGAATTCTTCAAAAGGGTTTAGAATTGAAATTGTCTTTTGACTGGATTTATGTGTTTGCATTTGCTTTAGATTCAGCACATAATAAAAAGAACTCCTCGTCAGATTTATACGCATTACCTTGCTAAATTGAAAACTAGTTTTTCCTTGTTTCTGTTTTCACACCAACTTCTTAATCCTACAGAATTTAAAAGTACGCACTACAGACCCTCTTGCTTTTAATTTCATGAAGCAAATGTACACTCTCCTCTCATCCGGTCAGAATGCCTTCACTTACTGCTTCTGGTTTACCTCGTCTACAGTATCTTTATTCTGGTAACTTATTACTATTTATATCTCTGGCATTTGAGCCATGCATATTTCAACGAGTAAAAAGGAAAAAAAAGGAATTTAGAACACAAGTTGTCCCTCTTTACAGAAAGCTGAAGGGTGGACAGGCTTAAACCCAGTCACATTGCCACTTTTCTCCTGAAGGGCAGCTGGCCTGGTAGCGGGCTCTTCCTGTAAGTCAAAAGGTGAAATGAGTCACAGGCAGATATTTTGGCTATAGAGCTAATATTAGTAATAAGAGCCTTCAATATAAGAAAATGTCCAGGACTGATACTTGTCATTGCAAGAAAACTGAGTGACATCATTCTCCACTACTCCAAATAAGGAAGACCTTTTACAGCCTTCATCTAAAACTACCATGTTCTTTCTGCTTAAGCTGCTGTCAAGGTGAACTAGTGATTTTCAAAGACTCTGCCCTTTGATATTGCCATCCAGCTGTCTGATGTGGGTCACATACAGATCACCCCTGAGAAACTCTGAACCGAGGCAGGAGGCACCTGTGACAGAGACTCTATTGAATATCTAAGATGTCTTGACCCATCTTTGTACTATGAAGTGTTGTCCAATGGTGGGGATAGGCCTGAGTGGTCCAGCCATCCCGGAGAGAGCGATCCGGCAGCTCACAGGATCCGCCTGCCTGTCCTGCAGGAGGTCTGCCGGTCTCCTGCAAAACTTTTTTATAAGAACTAGTTATAAACTTTTAAAGAAATTGGAATATTTTAGGTAAAGTTTGCATTTCGAATATTCTCTGAAAATACGAAGCTGGGCAATTTGGAACCTGCATTTCCTCACAGTAACAACCGAGGGTTGTAAGGAGACAGTCCCCAACATCCCCACTGCCCCATGTGTCGCCCCTGCCCAGCCACAAGGCCATCAGCTCTCCCATAGGCCGACACCTTATCCTCATGAAGGTTGGCCAGGGACTAGGGGTGAGACCTGTGCCTTTGGAACAGAGTAAAATTAAAAGGACATTGTTTTGAATGAACTAATGCCACACTCCATCTATGTGAGGTAACCGGTAATAAAGAATCTTTCATGTATAAAAAAAGCCCGATTGTGGTGATCCTAACATCCTATTTCAGAATGGCAGAAAACTTAACTTCCCTGAACTAGTCCCATTTCTCATCACACAGCACCTGTCAAGTGAGTCACGGGCACAAGGCCCCTCCACCCTGCTCTGTCCACTCTCCAGCCAACCCCAGGCCAACTGTGAGGGGATTCCTCTGAGGGAAAGTCATGAGCCATATGCTGTTTTTTAAGTGTTAAGTATTCCTTGTTGCCCACTGAAATAGTGCCAGTGTTCTATTTGTTAACAAAATGTTCTTGATGAATGTGGGAAATAAAGAAGAACAAGAAAGAAGCATGAAGTAGTCCAGGAGCTTTTCCCTAAAACATCAGTTGTGAGAGGAGCAAGGAAGGGGAGAAGTTGCCCAGCTGCAGGCTAGGGACAGGTGTGCCCTCTGTAAGGGATCCATCAACAGTAATAAAACCGAGTACAGTTTGGTCTGCTTTTTCATTATGACCACGTGCCAGCAATGTCAATTGCACTCTTCCTCCCTTCCCCATTTTGGGAGTGTCTGTGTGTGTCCACAGCTTGTGGCAGAGGGCCTGGGAAGTATGTCCGGAAGCAGGCGGCAGGAATGGGCAGCATGAGGTCCCACAGAGCCTATGAATGCCCTTCGGGCACTGGAAGATGAACTCCCGTGAAGAAGTGGTTCTGTTCACTGCTGCTCCAGGGGAACAGTTAATGCCAGTGAGTGAACACCACTTGCGGGCAGCCTCAGAGCGCGTCAACAACCTGACCAGCGATAATGGCATGAGGGGTAGAGTTCCCAGTCCCCAGGAGTCTTCGGATGGCCAAGGATCACCTACTGAGGATGTAGCAGACAGCGTGCTGGCCTACCTGTCTCCATGTAGGAGGTCTCATGGATGGTGCTGCTGGGATCTGGGTTCACTGGCCACTCACCAGACGATTCTAAAGTCTGGCTCCTCTGCATTTATTTTTCCTAAGTCTCTTAATTTTCACTGAAGGGAACAGACCTCAGTGGCCATGAAGATTGTTTGGTCTCGAGGTCCTGGTTGGCAGGACCCATGTCTCATCTCTCCTCAGAGCTGGCTAATGGTCAGCACATGGCTTTGCATAAGATTGACACTCGGTCCACCTTAGCTGTGGAGCTGAGCTACTTCATTTGCCTTTCCCTGGTCAGAGCTCTACCAGACCATTTGGAAGATGCAGCCTGGGGACCATGTATGTGTTACAAAAATTACAGATCTTTAAGCCTGGAGGAATCCTGGGGTCAGAGACATCATTTTTCAGCTGAGGAAGTGGAGGCTCCACGGGGGACCAGAAAAGACACAGGATGCCTATTTCAGTAGCCGTCTGAAGCCCTACTGTCCAGCGTGGGAGCCACTGGGGGCTGCAAATCCCTGAAACATGGTGGGTCCACATTGTGATGTGCTGTGAGTGCAAATCAAATGCTGGATTTTTAAGACCCAACATAAAAAAAATTCAAAATTTCTCATCTATGTTTTATATTGATTACAAGTTTAAATGATAATGATTTGGACATTTTTGGATAAAGTATATTAAAATTAATTTCACTTTTTTTTTTTACTTTTTTAATGGGGCAACTAGAATATTAAAAATTATCTATGTGGTTCACATACTATTTCTTCTAGGCAGTGCTGGTCTAGAACAAAGCTTATGTGTGTAACTTCTGGTCTCAAGTCCCTCTGCAGGACAATAAACTGTTTTAACACATAGTCTTACTTTGATTTTAACTTTTGTCTTGAAAATGAATGGAGAGGAAAGACAAAAGGTTTTTGCTATTGTTATAATTTGGGTGCTATCACAGAACCTTCTGAATTTATAGACTTGTGAATGTGCCTAGCTGGAGTGCATGTGGTCCCAGCATGTGCTCTTTGACCTGGAGAAAATAAAATGAGCGAATTCACTGTACTCACAATAGGTCTGTCTTCAGGAAAACAAAAGTCTCATTTCCCTGTTTAATTTCTGATGTTTCCACCATTCTTAACTGTACTAAAATCATCTGTGATGTGACTAAAATTTTTAAGTGCAAGAAATCAGATAAATACTCATTCCATGGAAAATGGAGTTGCTTTTGCAAAGCATAACAATGCCCATGAAATTACTTTAGTAACTGTTGCTATTATGTCAAACCATGGATACTGTTACTGTTAAGGATAAAAGCTTTCTTTTAAAAGGTTTATTATGGGAAGGATTCCCCGGCCCCCAATATTCATATGAGTTTTACCAGCAGTTCATTAAAAAACAGTGGAAACAGACTTTTTTTTTTAAAATGCAGGTGACCTTAAAACATCAATTTTTAGAGTGAGGCGTGAGCTACTTGCCTGTCAGCTTATCCAATTGAGACCGTTGTACTCACCAAGCCGCTACCTTACCTTTGTATTTTTCTGTTTGAGTCCTTAGAAGCTCTGTACATTTTGTCTCTTCCTCCTGTATTTCCAGATGAAATCGACATTCTGGGTGAACACTGGTCACCTGGTCAAGGTTTAAAAAAATGCCAGTAACTAAAAATTTCACCATTAAGGGGAAAGTTAAACAACACTTCTACAAAACAAAACAGCTCATGGTTCTAAACTGTTCCCCAAATAACACTCACTTAAAAGCAATCACCTTCATATTTCTGGCACGGTTATTTAAAAAAAATTACTTTGTAAAGGACTCATAACACAAATATAAACCTACAGAAAATTTTTTTTCTGAGCAGGAAAACAACTTACTAACATAATACATTGTATGTTGTTGGTACTAATTTGGCAGCAGTAGAGTTTTTTAATCCAATGATCTTTCAATATTTGAGTCCTCCATTTCATAGCCCTTGATTTAATTAAAGTACATACATGTCTACTCGTAAGACTATTCTTAATGACCACACGCTATCCCCAGACACCAGCACGCCTCATCTAAGGACAGTCTCTGCACTCACTGAACAGGGCTCTAACGGGATAACTTTATCTGTAGAGCCTGCAGGTCACATCTGAAACTTTAGAATTTGGCGCGAAGAAGACTTTCAAAAAGATTAGAGGGGTAAGTAGGGAGAGGAAGAGGGAGCAGGGTGTTATCACTAAACAAGAGGCGGGTGATTTCCCATCGTGATCGGTCAGAGGAACTAAAGTTGCGGCACAGATAGTGATTAGTATTGCCTATTAATGTGTGCAAAAGACAAAACTGCACATTTCAGTCTTAGAAGAAAATAGTCTCTGATCTCTGTTTTTATGAAAATCCAATGTTCTCTTTTTTTATTTCTCCCCACCCCAAGTACTCACCCCTCCTGTGTCTGAACAAAATTCTACTTTTCCTGTAAGACCATCATACTCTGGGTATGTTATGGCCACCTGTATTTAATTACCCCCCTATCAAAATGCTTAATTAGGACTCTCACCAGGAATAAAGTTCCTAAACAGAATTAAAAGAAGTAAACGCTGATACTTTTGCCACATTTACCCTCATTTTTAAAAAGACACAAAGTTCCTCCCCCCAGGCTCATTACTGGACAACCACCAACTGTTAGAAACTCCTGGTTTCAAACAGACCGTACTTTTCCTATATGAACAAGTCAATGGTCTTTAAGTTTCAGAATTGTGAAAATTATGTTGACTTAAAAAATGTTTGTCAAGGTATAAAAAGACACTATGGTTCCTGACGTTCTTTAATATGCAGAGTAATGACTTACTTTGGGAACTCTTAGAAATCAAAGCTGCATTAGCCAGAGTAATTCCTGGTAGGTCTAACAAACTAGATCTTTCAAAGCATTAAAATTACTAACAAGGGTCTTCTTAAACCTCCATTCCTCTGAGGGAGGACAGACCTGGTAACCTTCATACCAGGCAAGGGAGTTTGGTAGGTTCTCACCCCCTAAATAATGAGATATGCTCAGCAATGACAGCCTCCCTACACAGCTCTGTCCTCGGCTTCACAACCTCAGAGGGGCTATGAGTCCAGAGGACCGGTGACGCGGCTGCGATACGGGCAAGCGAGCAAGCCCGGCTTCCGCGTGGGAGGAAGGCAAGCAACCGGGTTGACAATTTCCTTCGCGTACAAGGAAGAATTCCTGAGAATTCGAGAATCCAGTCATGCACCCTTCAACAAACCACTGTTGAGTGTGTTATCTGTTCCAACAAGGGTGAGGGAATCAGAATATTTCCGGAAGGAAACTTTCTTCAGCCACACCGTCTCCCTCCGAAACACACTCAAGCAAATACAAACCAGTGACAAGTACAAGGAAGTGGAAGGAGAAGTATTCAGTGACAAGGCAAACTCCAATTTCCCTCGGGAATGTGAAGCCCGCGCAGGTGGCCGCAGCCCTGACCCGTCTCTCGCTCGAGGCGCCGCGACGGCCAGGCACCGCCAGCCTCACGCCTCGGGGAAGAGGCGGCCGAAACCAGCTCCTCTTTGACCAGCGTCTTGGAGGAAACTGGATCCTGCTTCTAGCAAATCCAGGGCGGCAGACGGAACCGACAAATGCATGCTCCCTGCCCGAGTGCTTGCTCTGACCCGCTCCCCACACGGGACCCCGTTCCGGACTCCGTTTCCGACCCCGTTCCCGACCCCGGACCCCCGACTGCAGCCGGCGAGGGTCCCCGGGCCCGCCCCGAGCCCCGCGCCTGGACGCGGGAGGGAAGCGCAGCCGGCGCGAACCGCGCTCCTCTCCCGGGAGGGAGGACGCGTGTCGGGGTGGAGGGAGGGCGGGGGTCGCAGGACGCACTCACGGGGGCGAGCAGCCAGCCACAGCAGGTCAGCAGCGCCGGCGGCAGCAGCGCGGGCGCCCTCATCGCGGCTCGGCGGATGCCAACATGGGCCGAGCCGCGGGCGCGCACCCCCGGCTCCGGCGGTCGGAGCGCCACGCGCCCTACAGTTGCCGCGGGGCTGCTGGAGCGCGTGGGCCCGCCGCCTGGTTCCCCGCCGGCCGCCGGCCCTGGGTGCACCCTGCGCCCGCCGGCTCCGCCCCCCGCGCCCGCGGCCCCGCCCCGAGCCCCTTCCTCCCCACGGCCCCCAGGTCTCCCTGGGTCTTCCTCTCGGCGCCCCCAGCTCCTCCCCTCCCAGCCCCGCGCGCTCTACCCGCCTCCCTGAGCCCCCGCGCTCCCTCCCTCGGACCCGCGTCCCCGCCTTGCGCCCCCTCCTGCCAGGTACCACCCCCTCCGGCCTTACCCCGCGCCTTCCGCGGCTGGAGGAGCGGTGAGGAGACGAGCACAGGTAGGCGAAGGGCTTGCAGTGCCAGCCAGACTCCACGTGGAGAGGTCAGGGGAAGAGCGACTTGGGAGTGACCCTGTTTGGGAACAGGGAAACAGGACTCCAGGCGTGAACCGCCATGGGTTTGCACCTACTTATGTCCTACTTGTTAAATAATAAGCTAGAGACGCCCAAGAAAATGTCAAGAAACCCAGTTAGGGTGGGTGTGCTGCCTTCGAAGCCAGTGGGGTTGGGTTGGAGCAACTGAAACTTAAGAAAAAATTAGAGTGCATTTGGGTGTGGGCAGACTTCCCGTGGCGGTGGGTCCTGCCTGAGTCAAGCCAGCAAAGCTATTCTGTCCTCCAGAGTGGCTGCTGCAGAGGGGCCTGAGACAGAAATGGGCATTTCCGGAAGCATCCTGTCGGCTCCTAACATCCCAGAGGATTACTTTAGCATTAGAGCTAGTTGCTATCCAGCAAATGGAAAAGCACCTAGAAATGAAAAGTGAAACAGGTAATTTTTGTTGTGGTTTTAACTTTTCGTGTGAAAATAATTTCAAACTTACACAAAAATTAGAATAAGAAGAGTACAAAGAATACCCTTTTACCCTTTAATTAGATTCAGCTATTAAAGTTTTACCCTATTGGCTTTTTATCATTTGTGTCCTCTCTGACCACCCTTACCCCTCCCCACATGTATCCATTAATATCTGTCAGTCATCTATCTATCATCTGTCTACCTGTCTGTCATCTATCATTCTCTCTGGTGGGGAGCAGTATTAGAGGCCAAGATCCAGATGCTCTAGGTGGATGCAGTGTGGGGTCTGGAAGCTTATTGACCTTGGGACCAATTTGGTTAAGATTCCTTTTACTCACTATTCAACCCTGGACAAGTCAAGGGACTTCTCTGAGCTATATGTCTGCTTGTAAATGAGAATAATGATACCTGCCTTCCACCTCAGAGGGTGGCTATAAGAATCAAGATCATTGATGCATGCATACATGTTTTGTTGTTGAGGGCCCACACTCTAAACATTACTACATTGGGTTCAGGACAAGACACAAGGTGTCTTCCCGTGTAGGAGTTCATATCATGGGAAGTAAGTGTGAAGGTAATGAGACGCAGGCTAATGGGAGAAGGAGGAACTGGCTTCCTCTGGGACACACTGGAGGAGTCGACACCTACATGTGACAGGTTAAGAAGAATGGTTATGAGTGAGAGATCAAGGATGGAGATAGGAAGCATCTCAGAAGCACCAAGGAGAAACGAATGTGCTGAGAGCATCAGAGAAATCAAGAAGTATGGCTAATCTGGGAGGCTTGAGAACCTGAAAGATCATCTTGACCCAGTGGAGGACAAAATCAGTATTGTATAAGAGGCAGAATTATATACCCTCCAGATGAAATGAATGTACAACAAAATGTTCTTTAATTCTGACTGTTCTTACCTTGTTCCAAATTCCCACTGATGTTGGGATGGGCGGTACTGTCTGTTTTGGGTAAATCCCCACTCTTCCAGGAATTTTCCCACTTTCCTTGTAGGGGGGCCTATGTGTTCTCAGGGCTGGAGGAGGGGTTCTTCCACGGGTGCCTGATATGGTAGACCAGTGGCTTTGTTTCTGCACCTCTGGCACTGGCCTTGCTGAGGTGTGGTAGCCCCCGATGGGCTGTGCTGACACTTTGCAAAAGCCTTGGTCCCTGCCCTGCCCTCTGGTCACAAGGGCCCCACCACTGCCTCCTGCTCTCGGGACCACTCTGACCACACCTGCCCTCAGCACCTGCACCTGCCTATGTTCTGAGGCGTCTGGCAGGGGGCGGGGACTGTGGGACACTTCAGCTGCCCTCCCCACCTCCTGCCTGGACACCCTTTCTGCCAGGACCCCCTTGCCCACACAGCACACACTTCCTGGCATTGTTTTTTGCCAGTGGCTTCCCTGGGTTTTTCTGGCTCAGCTCTGAGTGGAAGAACCAAATCTCCTGTGGTGGAAGCTGAGCAGATTAGAAGCTCAGAAACCTATTGATTTAGTGAAGGGAAGCCTTAAGGCTTTGTGGTTACAAGAGAGTGAAATTGATCAAAACTAAATACTTTCCAAAAGAGAAAAGTAAGCTTTGAATACATGACTCTGAGGTCCTTCTGGTCTTTCTGCTGAGACTAGATGAGTGACTCCGGGGACCACATCTGCTAGGGTGGAGGGTCAGGCCCACATCCCACAAGGCCTTTGTTAACTTGTACCTATGAGGAAACTCACCATTTGCTGTATCCCAATTTATGTGTATTTTAAAAGCCTGGATGTTAGAATTCATTAAAACATCTACTTTCTCTTCCCTCCTAAAAAAAGCCTGGGGTGTTAGAGAATGCTTTAAGTCATTTGCCCACTCATAGCTGTGTGTTGGGGGGATCAGCAGGTGCTCACAGGAATGCCCTTTGGGACCTGAACCCTGGCCTTGCACTTCATCCATAGAGCACATCTCCTGTGGTTGTGTTCTGAGTTCCTACAAGCACACAGCAGCCTGGCCCCTCGGTGCCCGAATACTCAGGGAACCCTGGAGCACAGATGCTCAGTGCATCGTGTCACACAAGACTGCATTAGTTTCCCAGGCTGTGGAGTAGAATTCCTAATATGTGTGTGGCCTACTTCTCAAGGTGCTTACAAAGATAAAAATAAAATATGAGCCATGTGCATGGATGTGAAGTGCTGCCTTAGGGATGTGCCCCCTCAGCCCCACTGCCAGCTCCCGCTCCCTGGCTGGACAGATACAATGCAGGCTCTGGCCCCAGGATGGGTCAGTGGCATCTGGGCTGCTAGTATGCCCATGCTGTTTCTGGCCCTTCCTATTTTCAACTGTAACCAACCTATCCAATGAGATGGATTCATTTGAGTAAATTCCCCTTATGCCTGTGGCTCTGTAAGACCCTGGCAATCCTCGATCCTGTTCTGGTGAGGATCTCTTTTCCAGAGAGCAAAGGCCCAGTGCCATGGGATAACAAAACTCCCAGCTGCTTAATTAAAAAGGTCTCACTACCCTCCCCTGCCCTAGCCCAGTCCTGCACCAGGCGCTGAACCTGGGGCCGGGAGCTGTGCACAGCACGGTAAGGTAGGAGTCTCCTCTCCCACAGGCTTGCCTCCACACCCCTTCACCACTGCAGCTTGGACATCCTCCAGGTCAGAGGGAGGGGGCAGGGAAGAAAGCCCTACTTACTGGCCGAACACGGACTGCTTGTGAGGTCCGCAGGCCTCCCCTGCTCCGGCCATCCTCGAGACCCTTCAGCTATAGCCCTTTGGATGTAAAGGATGCCTCTCAGGATGCCTGCAGCTTCCACAGGTTTCGCTTCGACTGGGATTATCTTTCCTCTCCAGACTGTCCTCCTGAAAGAAAGATTTTGAAGATGGTCCATGGGAGTCGACAGCTGGCTAATGGGAATAAAAATGCACCCTTTGTTTTGCCAAATGGAGGCAGCCAGCCAGGTGCAGCCTCACCGTCAGACTTCCCAGGCGTCAGAGTCGCTCCTGCTTCCTTTGGAGGACACAGGCCAAGCTCCCCAAATGGATCTTGAGGGGCTTCACTTGGGTTGAGGGAGGGGAAGCACCCCCTAGCCCCTGGTGGAGAGGGGCAGTGTTGAGCCCGGTGGGGTCTCTCCTCCGAGTCTTGCCGGCCTCCTTCTCTAACTCAACTTGGAACAGAGCCTTTGGCGTCACTCCCTTGGCAAATCCTCTGTCGATGGCCTAGCACCTCACTTTGAAATGTGGGCTACTTTTCATACCTTTCCGGCCTTTGAAAGTGCTGACATAACTGGCTGAGTCGCCTTTGATGTTCTTTACCTAGCTCTCAGCTGAGCTTGGCCCAGAGGCCTTCAGAAGAATCTGAAGAGGGCCTGTCCCTTGGGAATCCCCCAGAGTAAAGGAAGTCTGGTGGTGGTGTGTAAGATGCATCTGGAAAGATGTGATTTTGTAAACAGAGCATGTTCTTTCAAGCAGTTACATGCTCACAGCAGAACTGAGTGGGAAGGATAGAGTTCCCTTGTCCCCTTCACCTTTCCACCCAGTGTTCTTTTTTTTCCCTTTAAAATTATTTTTATTGAATCATGAATGTACAACAGCTTCTTAAATCTACACATGCACCTACATTTTTTTAAAGGAAAAATCTTATGTCTTATTATGCCATGATCCTGGCTAATAGCTTTTCAAAACTTTGAGAAAAATCTTTGAAAAGGTTTCACATGTCACCTGAAACATACAAATTTAGCATTATCAAAGAAGGAATGCTTCTACACTCTTAGAAAGATCGCTAGAAAGAAACAACAATTAAAAAGCTAAGGAACTGTCTCAAAGGCATTTTTTTTTTTTTTTTTAATAATCCTTCCTCCACAGTAAGGTACTGTTATGAATCCAGTCCATTCACAAAATGGCTCTCTGCATCTGCTCTGGTGTCCTCTGTCATATCACTGCATACTTACGCATGACTGAGGTAAGGGTTTCCTTCACACTGTTACTTCAGTAACCTGAATCTGTTCTGTTACCTCTGGGCTCTCACCCTCTCCTGTGTGTACAGTGAAGACCATACAGATAGGGAGAAGCTCAATATCGGCTTCTTCCTGCATAACC